TTGTATGCGTGTTTCTGAAACACAACATACATCAATGGCTCGAGATGCCAGGGTCTTAGCTAGTGATGCTTGTTGTCCTATTTGGCAAAGTGTCCTAACATTAAATGCTCCTATATGAAATTGGTGGCGTGGCTTTAGGAGACTATCCGTGGTGGTTTTTTGGCTTTCGTCGTTTTTAGTGGACACAGAGTGAAGAGGGAGTGAGGAGCCATCAAGTAGAGGAGTTGCATCAGTGGAGGAAGGCAAGGTAATAGAGATGAAGATGAAGACAAAGATAAGTGAGGATTAGAGAGGTTTTGTGTGCATTTCGGATTGTGAGGGCGATTGTTACTTCCCGGCTGCCCACACCGTGGAAGTTGGTTGCGTGACCGCAGAGCCCAGGGGACAACTGCTTGTGGCCGGTCACACGCGGCCTGTTTTTGTTCGTTCTTCGTTGTTTTGTGTGCCTCAGTAGCATACTTATCACTCCCGCCCTGTGACACGGCAGCAGGAAGCGCGGTCGTTGTTAATCCGGGCCACGGCCGATCCGGCATGAAATTTTGTGAATTTGTTTGGATCATGGTATTGGATGAGGTAGCTGCTTTTTGTTTAACCGCTATCCAAACAACCTGCCTGGCATGGTAGAACCTCAAGAGACATAAGTCTCAGCCAGTATAGCTTGATTAGGTCATTGCGGTGTTCAATATTAGTGTTGCCAATAAAATATAATACAAATGGAAATTAAGACGAGTGTTGTTAATCAACAAGATGGGGAATAAGATGTTTTTCAGTAAAATAAATAATTTGTTAGTGTTATAATGTGAATTGAAATGAGTTTTAACATTATTTATCCTCTGATTTGATTGGTAATAATATCTTCTATATCTCTGGTATTTGTGCTGAGTCACTTCTATTGCATGAGTTGGGTGTAGACTCGACGAACAAGGATTCAGTAATCAATCTTTCTCTCCACCTACCTATATCTTTTTAGAACTTTGACTATGTCCCACCCTATCGTGTGGTTGTGCGTTAATACATGCAGTGTGATTGCTGAGTTTCTTTGTAAATTACTTATGTTCGTGGGGTCAAACACTCTTAACTTAGCTAAATTCTTATGTTCAGATGATCTGATTACTTTCAATCTACTAGTTTTACGTCACTGTCATTGCAAGGTATTTTGTAAATTGTATTATTTTGTCTGATTGGGTCAACCTTAGTCTACAAAGCTAATCTCTCAGTGAATTTATGGGTTTGAATGCCACCCTAGTTCCTGCTTTATTGAGAATCCTACTTAAGGTCTCGGGTGTCCCCTCTTCATATGGTAAAACTAGGTGTCTCATACTGTTATTTATGTTATTATTATCAATTTTGATGTTGTTTTCACTTTGTTTTTGACTTTTTTGATCTTCCTAATGAATTTTGTAGGATAGTATATGATCAATAACACTCGTATTATTATTTCTGAATGTACATTATCTCATATTGATTTTTATTCCTATATCTAATCGATTCCACACATGTATATAAGTGAAAGAAAAAGTTGTGTAAGTTGATATGATTATGAGCAATAGTTTGTGTTCGAAACGTCATCATTTAATATTACTGTACAACACTGTGTGATTTATCAAAATAAAGTCTTATCCATAATGGAGTTATGCTCTACCACAGTGCCAAAGTTTTATATTATGAGTCACAAGAAGTGGATGCATCTGCGTCATTGAGAACGATTTTGAGCCGTATCGCCAGTTGTCCCCAACCATTGGTTTTTACCATACTGAGGGCTCCAACCAGGAAGTCTACACCTTCCCACGTAGCTGGCTTAAACTAACTGTTGTGGATTTCGTTGACTGGTGCCATGTTTTGGTTTGACCACCACTAGCTTTTTTCCAGCCTGACTATATATCAACTAACATTGCCCGTCGAGGAAGGCGATGACTAGGCATACGTAACACATGTCATAACCATCTCAGTCGACGTAGCTTCACAGCCTCGTCGATTGATTTCCCCTCCCACCTACCTACCACTCGACGCCTAACCTCAATATTGCTCACCCTATTATACTATTTCACACGGGAGACAGAATGCAGGCACCTATGATCAAAGACAATATCCTCTTCATGTCTTCCACTTTCAATGGTCAGGTCTCACAGCCATAAAGGAGGACGAAGCGAACTACTGAGCAGTACACACGCCCTTTGGTCAACAGTCGGATATCACGTCTACTAAACCAGAGACGGCGTAAACTGGCATATGTGAGTCGATTAACTTTTCGGTTTTTAGAGTTAATACACATTGTGCTCGAACGTTTTCGGCTGTCGTTCTATCTATTGAACTTAATTCTATCTCTATGTTAGAGATGACATCCTCTGGTTTTAGTTCACTAACCGTTGCATTGAAATTTAATCCTTTTTCAAGTGGTTTTATCTCACTAGAGCTAAGTTCCCTTAATGAGAAGTTGATCACCCACTTTGTTTTGTCAATAATAGATGAAACGTTGTTGTCAACTTCTTAATTTATTGTGCTGTTCTTTTCTTCTAATAACTTGTGGAATTTATTAATTTGCGTGGTTTCCGATTTCCTTACGGTGTTTCTCTGGCTTTTTCTGGATGTTTCATGTTTGTCATTTATCATACATTTGTTTGTGTTTGAGGTTTTTAATTTCATTTCTTATATTCTTTAGTTTCACAGTAATTCTATATAGCTTTTCTCTAAGACATAATCTGAATACATATTCCGCTGTTATTTTTTCTTGACGTAAATGGAGTACTTGGGCTTAAGTACATAGGTTTCCCAATGAATGAAAAAACAAAACGAGATTGTTTTTACTGACGTTTCGCTATTTAATGCTAATAGCTTTCTCAAAGTATTATTAAGCCGGAATTTACAAAATCTCAGCATATATATAACAAAGAATTAGGGAGTGAGGAAAATATAGACTTAGTTCAACTTAAAAGCACATATTGAAAGTCAAAATAACAATGAAGATCGTTCATTCATTGGGAAATACAAAAAACCTCTATTATAATGAATATCATATACCCAATGCCCAAATTTTTTCAAACCGTTAAAAGTGAACTTGGTTTGGATATATGTAATTAAGTACATAGGAATTATATGATTTTTTTAACATCGACTGTTGCAAATTCGATGATTAGTGAATCCTGCTTGTTTGACTGAGTCGTGTGATTTTATCAAAATAAAATCTTATCCATACTAGTCATGTGATTTTGCTGATAAGCTTCCTAGTAGGAAGATCATATGTATTATTGATTTGAGGATAAAACTTGGGCACTATGGTAGAGTTTAATTCTATTATAGATAAGGTTTATTTTGATAAAGTCACACAGTGTTATACAGTGATATTTGCTGGCAACGTTTTATCCTTTTACAGAGTCAAAGTTCTAAAAAGATATAGGTAGGTGGAGAGAAAGATTGATTACTGAATCCTTGTTCGTCGAGTCTACACCCAACTCATGCAATAGAAGTGACTCAGCACAAATACCAGAGATATAGAAGATATTATTACCAATCAAATCAGAGGATAAATAATGTTAAAACTCATTTCAATTCACATTATAACACTAACAAATTATTTATTTTACTGAAAAACATCTTATTCCCCATCTTGTTGATTAACAACACTCGTCTTAATTTCCATTTGTATTATATTTTATTGGCAACACTAATATTGTTTCCGAATGTACTTTATCTCCCTATCTGTTTCACGCATGTCTATTGAACTTTTATTGATTTCATTCATGTCTAATCAATTTTTACTCATATGTATAATCGAAGCAAGAAAGTTGTGTGATTACCTTGATAGTGATTATGAGCAATAGGTTGTGCTCGAAATGTCATCAGTAAATATTACTGTATAACGCTGGGGGGATGGTCAGATTTAGTATGTTGGTCAGGCGAAGTTGAGCAACTAAGAGATACTGTATTCATGCATAGATTGCAAGATGAGTGTCTTGGTTAGGCGGGAGTTTTTTCGTTTTTGAATATTAAATGTTTTATTATAAAGTTGGCAGGATGGTGTCGAGAGTCTTTAAACGATGTTTGCTTGATTGATTTCCTCTTCAGTGGTCGTTGTATAAGCGGAAAATTTACTTACTTACTTTACTTCGGCTATCTCCTACGGGAGGATGAGCCGGCTTCATGAACCATGAAGTTTCATGGGAATTGGGTACGAGTGATGTCCCCAGCATCGCTCGGCCTTTTGTTTGAGAGTGCAGCTCTAGCCTTTACACAACCAAGTGTGACCTACAAGGCAGTAGGAGTGGAGTAGGGAGTCCACTATCCATTGGCAGCCGGTGACCGGAGTCCGGTTCATTCGCCTTTTTGAATGGGGCCAGTCATCCAGGGCATCCAATAAGCCCTTTGTCCATACGTCTGCCGGTGAGCTTCATACGCCATACGTTGGAGGTTTGGAATCAGGGTTTAGCCATCTCCCCTAGACTGTCATCCAATGGACAGTCAACCCGGTGAAGAGCGCCGGGCATCCGCTTTTGCCCTCTCACTTTGGTGAAAAACACCTCCGCCACGTGAAGGCAGTGAGTAGGACTTCCTCAGGAGAGGCTATGTAAGACGCCCGGTCATATGGGAGCATTTCAAGAGGTGTACGGAGGGGTGGCCAACCCGCAGCGCAAGACACCCACCCCCGACCATCCTGAGGCTTTGGAGGCGGAAAATTGAGCGTTTTCAAATAGGATCGATTGTTTCTAGTCGATAGAACAATAAGTAGGTGGAACGATGCATGGATTGATAGAATTTCTTTTGCTGTATGTTGGCAGTCATGGTGGATTTCTGGGATGAACTGCACAAAGCATATTCGGCTGACAGTACACAAGACTTTACTTTTAAGTCACATGATTTATTCACTGTGGTGAAGCAAGTTACAACGGTTTTTTGTTATGTATGTACAAAGCTTTTTATTTAAATTCATATTATAATTTTACATAATTTTTCTTTATAAAAATTGTCAGTATGCTGATAGAAATATATGTTAGAAAAATAACTGGATGGCCTCAGCACAAGTTCACCGCTTCCAGCAGCGTGTTTCAAATCTCCAGTCACATCATAAACTTGCATCAATTAGACATTGTGAAGCTGTAAACAGTTATGTCAATCAGAATAATGAACTAATGAATTGTTTGCTAATTCATTTGAAAGCTGCAGATAAAAATGTAAAAAGAACAAAGAGAATTACAAAACCGAGAAATACACATTCTCACGTAAGTTATTATTTTGCATTATCTTTATAAATCTAATTTTTCTAGTTAACGAAGTCTGTACGTTTTACTGGGAAGTCGTATGCTATGCAGCCACCTTATGTTGAGCAAACCAACACAATGTATCACCACTCAATACCAAGACAAACAAATTGTGTCAATCGATGTTTCACCAAAGAACTATGGAATGAATTCGGTACAACAGGAATGGGAAATGAACAGTTTGTCTGTAATTCAAAAGAACCAATATTTCCACCACCAACATATGCAGAACCAAGTGAACCGGCTATATTTAACGATTGTTCTTGGAAAAATTGGCTTAGCGATGATAAAGGTAGAAATGATGATGTTATCCTCCAAAACAATTGGCCGTCTGCAACACTTCAGCCTGATTATACTTCATGTAGCAATAATTATTCCTGTGATGAAGTCAATTCATTTGTTTACAATGAAACATTACAAGAAAAACGCTTTTGGAGTAGTGATAATCCCCCAAATGATCGTGGAAAACAAACAGCTAATTTTACTAGTGATTGTAACTTCTCTGTTCCACAGCCAGTGGATTCTTATTGGTTGAAACAGTCCACTTCTTACAGTGACATCAAACATTCACCTCTTGCAAATACAGATAGTTATGTGTATGATGAAACATTGTATGCTAGACAAAATTCCTTCCCTAGTAGTACTCACAATATTATTTCTGAAGATGTAAATTGTTTTCCAATTAATCGGATAAATAATTATTCCCTAGAATATAATCCTCTTAATGTTAACTGCAGGATATCTGAATCATGTAAAAATTCCATCAATCCAATACTTGCATCTACCTATCCCCCATCAGGATCTAATTCACATTATTATCATTCAACAATAACAGGTTTTAATACTGATGAGTGTTTGAAACCTCATTACAATTATATGCCTTATTATCCTTCTAACTATGGTAGTAATAATAATGATAACAGTAATAACAACTGTAATGAAAGCAATCTAAGTTATCAATCTTGTACGGATACAAATTTATCGGCAGCAAAGCATTCATTAATGTAAATCACTCATCAGCTCCTTTAATTATTTATTATTTTTTTTATCTATCTTCAAAGTTCATCATACTCATATGTTTTTTACCTCCTAATCAATTCTTGTAAAAATTATAGAAGTTAAGGATAAAGAATTGAATTTTTGTGATACATATCTATAGAAAACAGAACAAAAAACCTCTGCGCCTGTGCCTCGGGAGGCATTTCTTTCTTTTCAGTGAAATTAATATTGGTCATTTATCTATTCATATCCATTTATTCTTAGGATGTATAGTCCCACCCCCTCCCTCGTAAGAATGATATTAAGCCTTATTCAAGCAATCATGATACTAAATTTTCAATTATTTACTATTTGTACTATTCTGGTGAAATGAAAAGCGCCATAAATTGACTTCTGTTTTAAATTGTTTCGTGTAATTAAATATAATTTCTTTTGTTCGTTTCTGTTTGTTTACTGTTGATTACACTCAGTTATTGGGATAGCTTTTTCTCACATTTGTGTAAAGGCTGGTGATACTTCCCAGTTGCCTGGACTTAAGCAGGTGGAGTAGACCTCGAACCTGAGACATCACCTATGAGTCGAGCGCTTAATCCAATCAATTATTGATAAAAAACATACTTTGTGTACGTCGAAGTAGTATTTATTTCGGCTTACGTCTAAAATAAGACTGTCAGAGTTGAGTTCTATGAACTTGCTCTTCTGTAAATATATGTTGACGTAATTATATAACTGTAGCAACATTATCAGACACTGTTTCATATGACTTAACAATATATTGTCATTTGATAATAATTTAGATCCCCTTCAGTTAATTTACTATCCTTGCATTGAAAACTTGCTTGCTTTCTTGCAAGTGTCGATAGTTGGATCTTAATGTTAAACTGTTCACTTATATGTACGCTTTTAAGTCAGTCTTTATTTACTTAAGTAATCATTCATATTTTAAGGTCTATTCAAGCTGAATCAGGTATTTTAGATGGTCATTGATGGAGTTAACTTCCCCATATTCATAGGAAATGAATCATAATATTTTTTCTTGATTACAGCTTGATTACACACAGTATTTTTGATACAAGTATGAAATTTCCAGCATGTGATATCGGTAGCCCAAATTTTGCAGGTCGACCATAGATATCAGATGTGCGTCGGCCGGCGGTTGAACCCCGGACCATGTGCATGGTTCGCAAGAGCCCTAACCGCTGTACCACCGACGCACAAAGAATCTTCAACAGCTGGGTGACGAACTAAGTTACAAAGGGGAGAAATGAAGATTATTGTAGAACAGTATTGGAAGCATCGAACGATGACAGAAGAAAATACGAATAACTTTAGCAAGTTAGAATTTCAGGTTTCTATACTTTGCCGGATAAACAATTCTGCCGACACACACCACTGAGTTCTGCTGTTATACAAACACACAATTTTTATTTGTAAGTTGACAGAGGAATTATATATGTATATATAAGCCTATTTTTTGTATGTAGGCTCCTGAGTCCTACTCCAACTAGTTCAATGGTTCTGTTTGCAGCAGCAGCATTTGTTGACGCGGGTCAGAATCCCCGAGAGGGGATATCAATTCTTTCAAGTTTGAAGATATACCTAAATGATAAATGCCACAAGCATAAAACTTAGGTCCAGAGATTTCTACCGATAGCATCCAGTCACCTTTCAAGAATCTAACTATGAGTACTTTTTATGCTTCAACTCCTAACACTGTATACAAAGCAATCCATGAACATGTAGTGCAACTTCCACGGCTAGAAAAACACATCAATATTGAATTATCTTTATTAAATAGACGTCTAGCTTACCTGCGGGGGCTTAGGTTTTTTAAGTTTTGTTTTAACGGGGGGACACACACGACCAAGATCCGACGCTATTTCAGACTTTTCCTTTGTCCTGTTAACACAGACATCCGCTAAGTTCTTAGTCCACCCATACTACCCAGACGGAACTCTAAAATCTTTTTCCCAAATGACCTCAACATTTTATCCTATTTAAATATATTTCTCATCAAAGCATATTTCCAGAAAACTAAACACTTTAAATTTGCGTTTTGTAATCAATACCTGAGAGTGTCCTGATTAAATCGAGTAATTAGGCACATTGAATTTATGATGAGGATGGTGCATATACGGCAACATATCAACTAGTTACCTTACAAACTGATGATCCTGGTCATTTGCCGAATTCTTGTTTTAATTCACTTTCATTTATTCAGCCTTACTGGTCGGAAGCGAAGATAAAAAAACAAAATAAACTTCAGCAGAATGGGGAGTTTTGTTTCGAAAAAAATATACTGAGAATAAAGTAAGGAAAACAAAACAAGAAGGAGGGGGGATAAAATAGAAGTTTAAAAAGCATATACATAAACTACACTTTAGGATAAGTGTCTGTGTATACAATGGGGATAAGATATTATGCAACCAATATGGCAATATATATATATATATATATATATATATATATATATATATTAATAACGTTTGTGTTTGTAAATAACATTGTCAATAAAAATAATGATAATAGTCCTAGAAACAAAGAAAAAATGCTAAGCAATGGCAATAAACACATTGACGTATGTTATTAAATCAGCAAAAACTATTCAAATAAAGTAGTAAATGAGAATGCACCTATCATGGCTAATGTAAAATATATCATGATTTATGTCAAAAGACGGGACAGTACTAATCGTTGTATATGGATATATGTCCTACCACTAGTACTTTTAGCAGTAGTAGTAGTGTGTGTGCACTGAGTGATTAATTTTTACATTTAAGATAGAGAAACAAATGTTAGCACACAGATAAGACAGTGTTTAAATAATATGCAGAGAAAGTTACAAGAATTGTCAATTAATGAATGAAACAGAAGTCTTGAAAAGGGCATAAATGATGGAGATGATGATGACGATAATGTGAATGAGCAGCATTAAAGGTACAATTGACTTCCATTTATGGAATGTATATTATTATAGGAAGACAAGATAGGTAAACAGATGGACGCATAAAAATTATCTTGTTTAGCTGTAAGATTGTGCAGATTTGATTTGATGATAAAGTGATGATGAAAGGAGTACAAAATGTATGTTTTTCTTTTTTCTGGATTCAATCAGTTTTATCTGATCGTTTTATATGTATATCTGTCCTTAATGGATTTAAAGTAAGATCTATAAAAGAAATAAAAAAAGTCGCATTACATTAAAGACTGATGTAAAGTTGCTGATAACTGACAAATTTGATAAGAATCATACGATTTTGTACAGATAGTGGTTCGTGGTTAGTCATGGCTGTTTGATGACTGATTTTTCTCCATATTTAACATCAAATTATTGTACATCACACTGTAGCAATGTCCTGTTGCTTAGCTCAGCGGTCGCACCTTATCGATGGGCTTCAATCTTTTTGATATCGTTTATGTGATTTCCAATCTTAGTGAGGTTTAACTACGAAGCTTTCATTGGCCTTATAAGCAACTTCAATGTGGAGTCGCATCGAACATGTGTAGAAGGACAATGGCAGGATCAAATGGGGGGAGCACGTCAGGCGTTCATTACTCTGAAAACAGTGTATGGGCTCACAACACTGATCACACGGAACAAAAGCCGGATTTTTAAGTTTAGTATCAAGTCACTGATTCCATGTAGCTTACAAACTTGGCGGGTGTGTCGTCAAAAGCATCTGAAACAGGCTATTGATGACTCTTATCAAAACCAGTCTTCGCTCGATACTGAAGATCATATAGCCAGAAAGGATAAGAAAGCACCAGGAAACATCAACAGCAAACCAATCAACAACCCGTTGCCCCCAAAATAGGCAGAAGAAAATGGAAATGTATTGGAAATACCCTGAGAAGACCATTCAGTAACATCACACGCCACATCCTTGAGTGCAAATCGACCGGTGCGTGATGAGTTGGGGAGGTTCTGAGGGTGCCAAGAACATGATGCGGAGAGTAAACAAAATCTTGTGGGCAATCGTGGAGCCAGCTAAAAATCACCACAGAGGACACAGTGGAATGCGATTTGCTGCCGAAGTTATATGTTCAACTCGAAACCAAGAGAATGAATAATATTAATAATCTAGTCACATGTTTAAAATTCTGTTAGTTTAATTGTTTAGAACAGTAACAACAACAAGGAAAAAAATACATTACTGCAGACGACTTACTGTGTAGAATATCATCCATCAAACCATCTGTGTCCAGCTGACGAGTTCGTGGTTTTCGATGACGATGTTCACGTTTCGATGAAGATGATGCCTTTTCACAAAACGTAATAAAATAATGATAATATTGTGTGGGAAGAAGGCAAAAGTTTAGACTCACAGTCAAAATTACAGATTGTGTTTTTCTGCATAAGTGGTGGTGACGTTATCTGAGGTAGTGTTGAGTTGACAGACTGTAATTAATGTAATGGATGATGATTGAGAATGAAATGAAAACCTCAGTCGCAGCAAGATTCGAATCAGAGACCTGCGGATTACTAGTCCATAACTTTACCAACTGACCTAAGAGACCCGACTGTTAACCGGACCACCATTTCATTGAAATCTCCACCTGTCATGTGAATGAATGATACGTTAATGCCCGTTGATCACCACACTAGTTATCCGGCTAGTTAGGTCTTATTCTGTCAATTATAATCACATAGAATTCGAAGGAGATGATTAAGTTGTTCATTAATCCTTAATGAAATAATACGATTTAATACGCAGAAACCATGAGTTGCTTAGTGGCTTAGCAAATATTGCTTCAGCGCTTGAAACAGTTGCTGCTACATTCAAGTCCGGTTGGAAATACTACCAGCACTCAATAGAATGCATGTACATCCATCAGAGGAGTCGCAAAAAGACTACACACACGTCTTATATTCCAATGTGCGTCGGTGCCACAGTGGTTGGGACTCTCGCCGATCATGTACATGGTACGTGGTTCGATCCGCTGCCGACGCACACCTGATATCTATGGCCGGCCTGCAAAAATTGGGCTACCGATATCTATGCTGAAAATTCCATAAATGTACCGAAAATACGGTGTGGAATCAAGCTGTAATCAGAAATAAATAAAAAAAATGAATGCTAACCGCCAACAACCAATAGCATATGAGTAGACGGTTAAAATGGATTTATTTATGATGAAGACCTTAGAAAAGGATGACGAAAATCCATTACAAGGCAACTGTCTAATGCACTTTAACTTGAAATCGTATTGACCGAAAAATAATCCGAAAAGCAATACTTTTACCTATCAGGTAAAAATCAAGTTCTCATGGTGATCCCAACCCATAAAACAGTTTATTTTCCGTTTCCCTAACTATCGATAACATTTAATCATTAGTTATATCTCTCAAGACACCAAAATAAATCTAATCAAACAGAAACATTGAACATTAGGCTCGCTGAATACCAGACATTGGACGTTGGGCCTGAGTCTTCATTAATATCAGCCTGGGTGACTGGGTATTATCATCAACCGTCACACAACAAATGAGTCTTATTGACTCCGGTTTGGTCAAATGGTAGACAGCAGTGCTAAAAATACCTAACCAACAACAACAAATATTAATCACTCCTAACCATTACACCTGTTACATTGACATGGTGGTCAGGATTCCATATCACAATGACCAAACGAAGTACACTGGGAGCGAAAAAGGTCCTTGCAAGTCCTACCTTGACAGAAAGGTCGTTTGAAAGCTGTCGGACTAAAAGTAGTGTAAGTTGTTGACATTATTTTAGGGAGGGGGGAGCGGGAGTCTGTGGCTGACGTCGTACTGCTGAAGAATAGCAGTGTAACGGAAGTAGTATGTATCCCTGAAACGATCAGCCAGTCAGATACATTGCCTTTCTACCCTGAGGCGGTAAGATCTTCATATGGACACAACTCCAAAGAGGCCGTATTTGATTGGCCAGAAAGCAGTTGTCCCCTGAATTCTGAGGTGAAGGCAACACTTATGTCCTTTCTGTTTCAGTTCAGCATCAATCATTTAACGGAGTAATAAGTATGTTTCATAGCCTGAAGATGAATGTAAAAATCTATTTCATGTAACCGAATTTCAACTAGAAACGAAATACTTCAGAAAGGAAAAAAAAGAAACTATGCATATCAACAATTACCTTCTCTTGATCTTTTGAACGTTTTTGACTCTGACGGCGTGATTGACTTGATGAATGAGATTCTGTTGCATTGCATGAATTCTGTGATGTATAACGTGGTTTTCTTTCTAATTCATGAACGTAATTCTATGCATAATTAACACAAAACAAGGTAGTATAAATATTAAGAGAAGTGGAAAAATATACTGAAGCAAAAAAGTTAAAATTGTTTAACGGTTGTTATTCTTGTTGACTCTCAAAAGATTATTGTTTATAAATGTAGCAATGAATGGAAGTTAATAAAAAAGAGACATCCATTTTGTAATGTGATTAGGACAAATAAGTGCTTTCAAATTTAAACGAAGTCAGAACAACAAATTTGCATCAGTGGTTCAGTCACCAACAAAGCAACAGGGGCAGAGTTTAAGTCCCAGCCAGCGTAGTGCTAAACCTCTTCAAGTTTACTAGGCAGTAGTAAACCCGGAAAAGGAGGGAAGGCTGAGAGCGAGGTTAGCATTCCTACTCTGTGAAAACGACACCAAAGCTACTGAAACTTCAGAAGCTTGAAGTCCTATGTTCTGCTTGGAACGCAAAGGATTGAAAAAAGAAACAACAAATGGTGAAGGAGAGACTGAGGTCGTTCTTTTTATTATTATTATTACTATTATTTGGTGGTCTCTTTTCATCTGCTCACAACACCTGAACAAACTTTTAACACGTTGACAGCAAGTTATTGGTAGGAACTACAAGTAACATAAGTCCGAAATGATGCAAGTGGTTAAATTATTAAGAGTGAAAAGGAAAAACCATTTATAGGATAATTAGACGGATATTCGTACGAAGAAAAGATGGCAGATTTCAAAGTTTCGAATACAAGCAAAGCTTAATTAGAAATAGCACGTTGGTACAACAGGTTGCGTAACTGCAATAAAGTGTTTTCGTATGGGCAAGAACAATAAGGTGAGCGACATTCAGAGAAAATGAGATTTACACACAGAACAGAAAACATAAAAGAATGCATGATGAAGTAAAACTTTCTTTTGTAAAATTAATTAACAAGCTGATTGATTGTTTTTGCCTTATTAAAGTTTCTCAACGGGAAGAATTGTATGAGGCTCTGAGATCACTAAACCAGTGTTCAACCAGATGCAAAAAATACGAATGTTGAGTAGAGATGAAATTTATCCCCAATGTGAAGGATTTTATTCAGCCTTCATATGAATGAGGCCTACTTTAACCGCTTTTGTGGTATAAATAATACACAACGTATTCAGGGGATTTTATACCTAAACGTGGCACCTTGGTTCGTGAAAGAAAAGACATCAATAAAATATTAGGAATACCACTTATAAATAGACAAAAGTATTATTGCTGAACAGGTTTCAGAACACGACTAGCATACATAACAACTCCTTCACTCTATCCTAGAATTATACCTCTTCACCAAACACTCAAATGCTTGAACAAGGAGAACGATTCAGTTTTCCCGAAGCTGTAACAAAACGAAGACTTTCTGGTGTTGGCGCTAAAGTGGTAAGACCCTCATTGAACATTTTCCACGCTTAACAAAGAGTTCACAGTTTACCAAACATGCTGGACGCTAATTCCCACCAGTTGCAACTGATAAACGCTGGACAGCCTTTGGAGATTGGACAGGTGTTGAAAGCGGTCAGACAGGTAGTAAGTACGACGGTGGCCAATGTAGTAGCGCTAAAAATATACCAGTGGGAAATAGAAGTAAGATTTACAGCGACAAGTGACTGCGCTTCGAGTAAGCGTCAGTTGAGAACAGTGCTTCACGTGTGGTAAAACGAGTCACTGATGGTAGCACTGCCAGGGGAAACGAAAAGAGATACATTTTAGATAATAAGATACATGTTCTCTCTGTCCGATGGGACTAGTTTATAGATGTAACTGATACATAGGTAATGCATGGGAAGGTGTCAGAAAATGTCTGATAGGTATTTAGGAGGTGGTTTTATTAGTAGATAAGGATCAGTGTCAAACTGTCAGATCATGTGTATTAACAGTTCACACAGCAGGTATATATGGGTTGATAATCACAAATATGCCAGATTATATCGTTCGAATCGGGGATTATGAAGCCAACTTCCCACTGATTTCTGTTGCTCCGTTACAGCAAACAATCATTAGGGCTGATTTTTTGGGAAAAGTGGCTGTGGTTATCAAAACGAATAAAAAGGAAAGTGACTAACAAGTGAGGATCAATGGCCACGTATGAGTATAGTGAGAGAAAAGGGGAAGAGGTATTAATGACACCGAAACCTTGTGGATGAGTACTGCCGACGAGTCCCAACTAGGACAAAACGACTGTCTAGTAATCCTTGGTTATCAATGGTCCTCTAACTGACATCAATCCGTGGTTAAACTTGAAAGTAAAAGAGCCAATTGATGGAGACGGACATCCTAAGGGGTACTGTGATAGAGTGAGAAGAGAAACCTCAGTGAAGACTCGGGAAATGATAGCATTCATGACCTGTCTCATTTGAGCGACAAGTTCAGGTGGTGTTAAACGACTGTCTGTCTGTCTGTTTTCGACATAGAACTTTGCACAAATGTGCGGAAGTTCAAGTCGCCACATTCCGTGTAGCACGCGAAGCAAGAGAAGAAAGTACAAGAAAAGCATAATAGAAACAGTGAGCAGAGGTGTGAGACAAAGGAGTAATAAAGAAATACAAAACAGTTTCATTGAGATCATAAGTCACAGGGAGTGGATGCATCTGCGCCACTGAGAACGATTTTGAGCCATGTCACCAATTGTTTCCAACCATAGATTTTTACCGTCCCGAGGACCCCAGCCTGGAAGTCTACACCTTTCTACGTGGCTTAGACCAACTGTTGTGGATTTCATTGACTGATGCCAAGTTTTTGTTTGACCGCCGCTAGCTTTTTTCCAGCCTGACCCTATATCCGCTAACATAGCTCGTCGAGGGAGGCGATGGCTTGGCATACGTAACACATGTCCTAACCATCTCAGTCTTTGTAGCTTCACGACTTCGTCGATTGATTTCCCCTGTTTACCTAGAACTACGCCTAACCTCCATGTTGCTCACCTTATTATGCCACTTTACACGGGAAATAGAACGCAGGCACCTATGATCAAAGACAGCTAGTCTTTTCATGTCTTCCACTCTCAGTGGCCAGGTCTCACAACCATAAAGGAGGACGGAGCGGACTGATGAGCAGTACACCCGCCCTTTGGTCGATAGTCGAACATCTCGTCTACGCCAGAGTCGGCGTAAACTAACAAATGCGAAACGAGCCCCTTGTATTCGTGCTGAGATTTCGTCAGAGATCACCCGTTGGGGCTGATGGTACTTCCCAAATAAGTGAAGCGGTCAACGTGCTCTACCACTTCACTTCCTATTTTTAAACTAGGCGTCGATGTAGTCCAGTCCTGTAACATCATCTTGCATTTGGCGGGAGCGAATCGCATGCCAAACATTCGTAGATTGCGCTCAAGGTGTTTAGAAGACTCTGCATTTCGTCAGCGTCTTCGCCTAGAAGGACTATATCGTCTGCATATTCCAAGTCAACGAGATTATTCCCGGTAGCAAGTCAATCCCTGAGTCGCTGAAGTCACCTAGGGTTAAGTCCATTAACACATCTATGATGAAGTTGAATAGAAAAGGAGATAATGGGCATCCTTGACGGACACCACTGGTCGTCATCAGTTCAGATGACAGCTCGCCGTAAGCCCTCACCTGGCTGTATGAGTACGAGTAGAGTGCCTTAATCAGTGCAATATATTTTCTTGGAATTCCCTTTACAGCCAAGCATCTCCAGAGAACTTCCCGATCGACAGAGTCGAATGCTGCCTTTAGGTCAAGAAATATAATGACTGTTGGACGCCGGTAGGAATGCCTATGTTCTAGAATCTGTCGGAGGGTGAAGATATGATCAATACACCCTCTTCCTGGTCTAAAGCCTGCCTGGCTCTCTCGTGTTTGTGCTTCCCGAGCACCACTCAGTCTACGCATGATTATTGAGCCTAAGACTTTAGATACTATATTAGTCAAGCTAATCCCTCTGTGATTATCACAGGAAGACTTGTCTCCCTTCTTGTATATGGGGATAATCAGTGACTTACACCAACCCGATGGGACTTCTTCTGATTCCCAGACGCTGCCTAGTACCTCAGTTAATCCGGACAGTAAGCTGTCTCCACCGTACTTAAATACCTCTGGAGTCATTCCATCAGGTCCCGCTGCTTTGCCTAGTTTCAGATTGGTGACAGCTTTAGTAACCTCAGTTAGTGACGGAGGACCTGTGTCTATATCCCATTCAGGGAGGTGTTGGATGCTCGGAAGGTTGAGCGTGGCTGTGGGCAAATTAAACTGCTCCTCATAATGCTCTTTCCAACGATCCAGTCGTCTATCCTGGGAGCTAATTATAGTGCCATTTTTTTCCGAGATTGTCTCACTAATGATTTGTCTTCTCCCACCCGTTTCCCTGATGAGTCTAAAGAGTTGCCTGGTGTTGCCTATCCTCAAGCTTTCTCCATCTCTTTGGCTTTTGTCGCCCACCACTGTTCACGGTCCTTGCGGAGACTTTTCGTAAGTTTCCTCTTGTGCAGCTTTCGCTCCTCATTGAATTCGGAGCTCGCCGGAATAAGTCTTCTAGCATCTATCAGTTCGGATGAGGCGGTGGAGATCCAGTGGTTTTTACTCACCTTTGGGTTTACCTTATTCACAGCTTTTACAGCTGTATCTATGGCTGCCTGGATATTTTTCCAAGCTTCTTCAGGGTGAGCACAGCTGTCGAACACAGATATGTGTTTAGCTAGTTCTTCCTGAAATACGGATTTAGTTTCCTGATCGAGCTGGGGACGTGATGGTTTTACCGCCAGCTGTTTCCTACGTCCGTTCAGTCGTAAGCACACCCGAGCGCGGACCAGTGCATGGTCGGTATCTACGCACGTGTTCCAGAAGGAGCGACGGTATTATTGAAGTTGACAGCCCATGTAGTTATCCAATGCTTTTAATAAAAAACAACCTAATAGGAAGTACAGATTTTGTGTTAACTTCTAAGATTACGTGACTGTATTAAGATCGTTTGGTATACCGGTAGTAGAGCAAGCGCGGGATCACCTTCAGAATGCTAGTTATCATTATTATTATTCTACG